GGTGGTGGGGGCGAGCAGCGTGTCCCCGGCCGGTGCTCCCGAGCGCCGTTTGGAGGCGGCGGGCCTGGGCCTGGGCCTGGGCCTGCGCCCCGGCTCCCTCGGCTCTTAGGGCCGCTGCTGCTCGGCCGGCCCCGTGGCACACGAAAACGTGTTTCGCGCAAAATGCTTGCGTTTCTGTGGTGCATAATAAATGTGGCTGATTCGGGCGTGTTGTTGGTTTTGTTGCCTATAATAGGCAGGGCTCCGCTTTCTCCGTCCCTCCCAGGTGAAAGGAAAACAGACAGTCGGAGGCAAAGCGGGTCTGCGTGTGTTGGAGGGATGGTTCCCTCTGCCCCTTTCGGGAGGGCGGTAGGAGCGCGCAAAACGTGCCTTGGCACTCTCCTGCTGGCATAAAGTCCTTTTATTTCTTGCCTGACACTTCTTGTCTCTTATGGTTTGCCTGTTGTCTGCCACCTCTTTGGCAGTCAGCTGTGTAACTGGCCTCCTTTGTAGTTAATCCTCTAGGCTGATACATTATTTCTATAATTAATGCTGTGCGTATAACTTGCCTTTCAATTAACTGTCAGATATATTTTTTTTAAGTTTCCTCTTAATTCATTCCTTAACTGACTAATTGCATGCACGCTTAAATATCGACATACGTGTTGCTGAGGTTTTTGCATATTTATTCCATGCCAAGGTTTATTCAATCTCTGGCTGTCTCCATGAGAACTTAATACACTAATTTTATTTTTTACATTTTTTTCTTTAACTACAGCTAATTAATGCCTAGGTCTACTACTCATTACTCTTTTCTGCTTCTCCTTCATGTGAGCAATGTTTTCTTGAGGTTTTTTTTTTCCAAGTGGCACCGTCTTCTTGTACCTGGAGGTACTCGTCACTCATTTCAGTTCCCCCAGTTCACAGTTACTTTCATCTCTTTTCTTTACCTTCTTTTATCTTTAATTTCTAGAAAGTATCACAGATGCCATTGTCTTTCTGCCATAAACCTGAAGTTAAAATTCTTCCAGAAACTTGTGACTTTTTTTTTTTCTGACAGAATGTGATGCTAAGGCTGTTAGTAACTCTCTAGGTTATCAGAAGTGTTGCTCACCCCAAAGACTGTTAAATTCATACCCAGCATCCTCTTGACTTCACTTCTTTTCCCTGTCTGAATTGCAAAGGGAAAGTAGAGGGGATATTGACCATCTTTAACCTATTGCCATATTTTATTATT